GCTCCTTTGCTTCTCGTTCTGAATTCTGTTTGCAGCTGTATTGTCCGTTCCATTTCCTCTTTTGGCCCTGCTTCTCCTCTGTGCACCCATTCTAATTCCCCATGGCTAGCCCCACTCCAAAGCCCATCGCACTGTACATTTTCAGAATGGATGGTGCCATAGATTTGTTCATTTCATCAGACATTTAAATAAAAGTGTGAAGCTGTGGGTGAATATCCTGACTGATCAACCACAAAGAAATCTACATCTGCTTTGTCTTCATAAAATATTGTGACAATTCAGTTACATAGTTTGAAAATCTGGACTTTCAGATTATATTTGCATCCATTTCCTTAGTTACTCGTCCCGAGGAAAGGATTTGGTTGTCCCCATCATAGCCCTGGTTATAAAAGTCAGAAGCTAGGCTCTAGAGAGTCAGCAAACAAGGCTGCGTTTCTGGGGATATGGGAGCTGGGAGAGTCTGAAAAAAAACTGTATCACAGAGACACTTGACCTCTTCTACCTAGTTCCATTTATAAAAGAAAAGACCACTTTTTTAATGTTGACGTCTGTCTACCACCTACCATTTGTGTGTTCTTGACTGTGTGACTTTTCAGAGCTGGTCTGAGGAATCAGATCTAAAAAATCCCCTGCAGTAAATAGAGAATGAAAAGAGTTTTTAGTATTTAAAGTGCACTGATTTTTTTGCAATAAATCTCGTTTTCTCCAATCTTTTTTCTTCTACTCCAAGTTTCTCTGACTGCCTTGAGCTCTTTGAAAGATACAGGCTGCCACATCACTTTTATATGGAGTCTCAACCCAGTGTAGCATCTTTCTACCAACCTCCCTATGAAACCTTCGTCCCCACAAAATAAATCGCTGGTAGTGTTTCAGTGTTTGCCAGTTCCCTCCAGTAGAAAGAGTTTCAGGTAAAGAAGTAGTAAAGACAGAAACAGACTAGATACATTATTACCATTTTCTGGATACACAACTTGTATAGGCAGATTTAGAAAATATGCAAGCTCTACACAAATACCTACCATATACATATGTTTGTATGTATGAAAATGCCCAATTTCCCCTGTTAAAGAGAATTCTAACTTGGCCTTCTTGGTTTCCTCCTTTCACCCACCTTCTGGGGAGGATCCTGACTTGCTGCACCAGCTATTTTGAGCTACTTTGTAAGGAAGAATTGAGACGAGGTGGGAAGGATGAGCTATGAAGGGCGACAGCTGAGGTTAGAGTATTTGGGGAGAGTTTACGATAAGTATGGCACGGAAGAAGTTTCAGTATTTAAAAAACATATTTTGCTGCCATCTTTTACCCCTCCTTCTAAGTGTTTATGAATAAAAGAAATGGAGTATTTCAAAATGACTTTGGTTGCTGGATTACGTTCTTTGGACCACAACGTCATTCTCTAAGACTGGACGACATGAGTCGTGACACAGCACCGCAGAGATTGCTTTATCCCTCGACTGACTTACCATCTGACATAACTAGATCTTTTTCTTCAACTGGGATTAGACCAGCAAACAGATCTTTATAGTCTGAAACTAAAATTAGATAAACATGGTGGGTTTAGAATATAACTAACAACCTGTGAGATGCTCTACGTGGGTGCTTTTCAAACTCTGTTGACTATAACCCAGTGTTCAAAAAATGCATTTTACATTACAGTCCAGTACATGCATATGTGTGCATATAATGAAACAAAATGTTGCATGAAAAAATACTTACCCCTTTTCTAATCTATTCATACCCTTCTCGTATCTTTTCTACTTACCTTTTTCTTTCTATTCTAGTCTCCTAACTTACCCTTTTATTATCACTTTTATTCCAGTTCAGGGAAAATACTAGTAATTAAGTCCATCTCATGACCCACTGAATTTTTTCCCAACTTCACCACCACTGAAGTTCTTTAAGATGATGAATTAGTTAAGCCTAAGAACCTAATATTTTCATGAACAGCTTACATCGTTCTGATGCAAAGACTTGGGAATACATGCATACTCTACCATTTGGCTTTTCGTCCTCCATCCTGGGAAGCTGCCCGTCAGCTCCTCCGTGGCAGATCTTAGAGCTTTTCTCAGTTCTCTCACAGGGGCCTGCGTGCCCTCCCTCCTTTCTGTGGGTGTTGCTCAACCCCAGCTGGGCCAACTAGGATCACAGTGCTGCCACCAGACACCTAGAGATACTATCTGACTGGGCCTCTTAAGATACGTATTCTGGCTGGAACTGAGTTCACTGCGCTCCTCTGGCCAGTGATGTGGGCTGCCTGCTCATCTTTCCAGAGGGCCAATGGTGAAGCCAGACCAGTTCTCTAAGCCTGACCCCATCTACTTCATGCTTGGTCCAGCCACCCACCAGCCATGTTGCTGAGCTCTTGACCCACCATTCAGTCAAACAACAGCTGGCCTCTGCCGACCATTCATTTCCAGTTTTCCTCATCCTTCTTGGATCCTCTGTTCTAGTCCAGCTGCCCTGCTTTATCATCTTCTGAGTCTAATTTGATGCCACCACAGGTCCATACTTCTGGCCATGCCCCGATCCCCTGACATACCTGCTTTGCCCCTGTTTTTCCTTCTGGTGGGACATCTTTCACAACCTCTTTCCTACCTGCCCCTCCACTGGCATCCCTCCTTTTCACTAAAGTACCCAAGAAATTCCCACTCCTCCTTCTAGACTCAGCTCCCATTTCATCTCTCCCTGAAAGCCTTCCCCGATACTCTCTGTGGCAGGAGACGCCCTACGTGGTCCCGTTATGCCCTGGGCCTCTCTCTGTCACAACACTTCCCTCTCAATA